TTCTCTGTGTAACTGAGTTGGACCTGCTGATCTGAGGTCAGAACAAGACAGCATTCGGACCCCAGTGTGTAGAAATCCCCCTCAGGTCAAGCAGGTCAAAGGTCATCCAGTCTAGAAAAGTGAATTCCTGGAATCTGACAGGAACAAAATCAATAATCAATGATTGATGCTTCAACACTTGATCAGAACCTGGAATGATTTTATTGACTAAAATCCTCCAACACATCATGACCCAGTACCAGGTTCTGGTTCTGGTTCTGGTTCTGAAGTCAGCAGGTCTTTATTGGAGCAGCAGCTTGTTGGCATATTCATGAGAATCTTTAACTGGTTCTGTTGGACTGGTTAACCTGCATCCTGTTGGTTCACATCTTTTATTCTTTATTCAGGTTGATTTGCTGCAGGTTGTCAAAGATCAGCTGTGATTATTTGGTCTCAGCTCTGAAGTCCAACCCGACCCGTCTGACAAGACTGGACCTGAGAGGAAACAACCTGAAGAAATCAGATGTTCAGCAGCTGATGGATCTTGTAAAGACTTTATGGTAAGTAAATGTTGCAGTGAGTCCAGCTGCTGTCAGCATATTGAACTAAACCCAGTCAGCATCAAAGCAAAGATCCAGTGTTCCCAGTAAAGCTGCAGCTTCTCAGTGGGAGGAGAATGGTTCAGGCTTCCTGATTGGACACAGCAATCAGCCAATCAGAGGAGCAGCAACTTGCTGTGTTGTGCTGTGTCCATGTCTCCAGGACGTCCAGCTGGACTCCAGCGTCCAGCCGTCCAACATGTCTAGAGACAGTGGTCCTCATTCATCAAGCAGCAGCAGATCTGATCTCAGACCTGCTTGTTCTCTCAGTTCAACAGGAAACAACTGATCAGGTTCATCTTGGTCACAGCTCTGAGATCAGTCTGACTGGAAACCATCTACTGGATGTGCTGCGTCACTGACTGCTACTGGAAACACTCACTGATCTGCTCTCCTTCCTTCTTCTCTCTGCAGGTGGAAGTACTGGTGATCTCTGTAAAGTAGAGAACGTCTCTGTGTCCTGCTGATCCTCACAGGTTGAAGCTGCAGCAGTTTGAGTCTAAAGAGACTCTGGATCAAGATGACCTCTGACCTCAGAACATTTTCTTTTTCAAATATTTTTCCAGATGTCGATTGTTGAAGATTTTCAGTTTTATTTTTCATCTGATCTGTTTGATGATCTGCAGGAACAAAAGAGAGAAAAATACTCTGAGTTTGTTAGAAAAGTTGAATTGAGCAAAACATGAAGCATAAATTTCATTAAAAAGCTTTAAAGAGTTTGTTAATGGGACAAAATGTCATTTTATTCTGTTGAGGTGAAAAAAGTTGATCTAAAATCAGACATGATAGCAGCTCTATAGATTCAGAGCCAAACAGTAAAACTTCCTCTGGATCTGTGGCATTAAATCCACTTGAGATCCAGACGTCCTGACCAGATCCTGCAGAGAAAAGAAACAATATTTGAACGTGGATCATTTGGACTCGGCTGCTTGGATGTGTGTTTGGATTTGAAAGGTTTTGTTGTGAAGCAGAAAGTTGATGAAGTTCACAGTGAAGACGACTTCAGTCCACCTGAAACCTGGTTTCACTCAAACGTCTTTATTCACTTTAAGTTTCTGATGCAACAAGAAGGAAGAAAAGGTCAAAGGTGAACCAGAGATCGACTCCATGTTGCTCACAGATGTGATGGGATCAGTTTGCACAGCTGTTGTTCAAGAACAGTTTTATTTTCCAGCTTTGTTGATGGATGCAAATTTGCATCAGAAGATGAGAAAATAACTTTCTGTGGTTTATTTGTGTGGATTTAAAGTGGAACAAGTTTAAAGAAAAACTAGAGGAGAAACCTGAGCCAGCGTTCTGACAGACCAAACACTGAGGAAGCAGAGTTTGCATCGTCAAAGTGACGAAATCATCTGAATGTTGTGACTCGTTTCCCATCAAATCCCTGACAGGAGAAGCAAAACCTCACGTCTCCAACATGAAGCTGCAACAGGATGCAGAACTTCCACCGAGCGTCACGTCACTCACAGCAGATCAGGAGCCTCGCTTCACCTCAACACCATTTAAAACCTGGGACAAAGGGTTAAAGGTCATCTCCTGCACCTAGTGCAACATTTCACTCCTTATGAGAGAGCGCGTCTCAGTTTAGAGGCCAAAACCAGTAAGAAGCTTCAGAGTTTTCCTGCAACGTAGCTCTGGTCTATTGGCTTCAGTGAGGCTGGTTTACTGAAGATGTGTTCAGGTACGCAGGAAAATTCAGCGCTGATACAGACGGGACGAGCGACTCCACCTCTGATGATGCTTGGATAAAAGTTTATATGTTCATGAGATGAAACAGTTAATTTTCCTCACATATCAGGACATTCTCCATCGGTCATCCTGCCGTCGTTCTGGATTTATTCATTATTTACATCATCAATAGAAATTGTTCAACCAGATGTTTCTCTTTGTTTTAATTTCACTGTTATAAAGTCAGATCAAGTCAGTTTACATTACTGTCATTAAATAAGAGTCACTGCAGGATTTTATTCAGTTTGATTAGAAATAAAACGTCTTGTAAAGAGTTTAATACAGCAGCTATTTTATAATTTTAAACAGTTTTTAAAATAATAAAGAACAGTTGTTCTTATGTCAGCTGGTTTTTTTCTTGATATTTGAAGCTTTTTCATACTTTCATTCTCAAAATTAGCCACAGTTAATATTCTGGGATTGTTACACAATAAAATGTAGGATTTTTTCAAACTAAATTTCCATCTATAGTAAAATAAAATATTACTTTATAAGTAGTTGTTCACTTTGTATCTAAATTATTCTAATAATTAATCTCATCTCTAATAACATACATGTATGAAATATATAAATTATTATTCACAGGATTAAGTTAATATAATGTTGTCATTAGAAACTAGTGAAAAGTTTAAAGTATTAATTTTATGATGGTTGATTGAGTTCTTACTGCCCTCTGGTGGTGAACTATCATAACTACAGACATTATTCATATAAATTGTTAAACCGGATGTTTGTTTTAATGTAAAATTTTATAACGTCAGATCAAAGTTAACTCCAAACAGTGAATCAAAATATGTCTGAATAATATACGAGTCAGAAATCTGTGATAATGACTCAGGATGTCTTTTAGTTTTTCTCTAAACTCCACATTAATGGATATTAAACATAAATAATGCGGCATTATCAGGGCTGTAGTTCCCACTATGGGCACCAGAGGGCGTAAATACCCGCTCTGAATATAGAGGTGAGTTTGAAGAGCTGCAGCTGGTTTCTGGAAATCAGTGTTTTATCTGTCAGTGAACTAGAAGCATCTCCACAGAGACGAAAACATCACGCAGAGACTCTGAGCGGAGCTAACGATGCTAACAGACTAGCAGCGGCTTCAGAGGAGCTGTGGTTCTTAAAACTGGAGCTTCAGCTCCAACAGAGCTGAAACAAACTCTGGTTTAGGCGATAAGATGCTGAGCTTCCGGTCTGAAGGTAGGAAAATATTTATGAAAAGTTAATTATCCTGTAAAAAGTCAGAATAATGTTGATATTTTAGCTGCAGAGCCGCGAACTGAACTATTATATCAGAGCAGGGCGGTTTCTGCCCTCTAGCGGACCCAGATGATAATTACACCTACTTGATAAAGTTAGAATGTTACGAACTACATTCACTTCCGGTGAGTACTTTCACATTAAGAGCCATAGAAACGAGTTCCTTTGTTAGCTTTTATTTGAAATAATAAATTTTACTTCTGTTGTTTTTCCTCTGAAACAATAAACTGTTATTCAAAAGCAGCAAATTAAATTTTACTCATCTCAAACTGAAATGATATCAATTCATAAAAGTATTTTAATAACATTAAGAGCAGCCCCATCTGACCCGGTTCCCTCTCTGACCCGGTTCTCTCTCTGACCCGGTTCCTCTCTGACCCGGTTCTCTCTGACCCGGTTTCCTCTGACTCTCTTGCGTTCATGAAATCAGTTCCTTCATTCAGAGACTCAAACTGAAATGTTCTTTAGTGAAGAAGAAACTTCATCTGGTTCTGATGTTGAAGCTGCAGCTTGAATCCGTCTCAGGATTCGGATCAGAATCCAGTTCGTATCACCGATCGGCATCACTGTGGCTCCAGAACCTGGCCTATCTCTACCTACAGGCCGGAGGAGGCTAAGAGGTCAGAGGGCAGAACCAGAACTGGACCTGGTGCCGTCATGTCGATGTTTTTTAGATTTAATCTAAAAATTAAAGATTAAATCTCTCTAATGTAGAATTAGAGAGATTTTAGATTCTCTCTAAAGTCTCAATTTTTAGAGATTCTCTGGAGATAAAACAGAAAATTACAGTTGGAATAACAAAGGTCAACAGTTTGAATTATGAGACAAGAGTTTGTGATAATTTATTAAAGAATGTGACTTTTACACTAAAAGGTGTGGAAAGAAGAATCCAGTCAAACTTTTGCTGTTCTGCCAACAAAGTTTATTTATTGAGTCATTTGCACCAAAGCAGCTTTCAAAATGGCCGCCCTTACATCCAGCAGTTCATCAATTAACCAGTGAAGCCCCGCCTCTCAATTTGCCCGGCCAATCAAAGTGCAGCCGGTTCTATAAAAGAGCTGTGTTTGAGGCGGGCCTCTTCTTTAGCAGAATCCCAAGATGGCTGCTGCAAAGGACTCACCCTGAAGGTAGCAAACATTTCACAGACAAAGACTCATTTACACGCTGGAATTCAACAAGTTTTAGAAAAACTGAGTCCTTCCTAACAGAGACATGAAGCAACACGACAATGACCTGATTTCTGGAGCCTCGGCTCAAAACTCTGAGCTAAATAGAGGCTAAAAGCAGCTCAAGGTTCTGAAGCTACGATTCATAAGATGCAGGAGGAGAAACTCTGGAGAGTTTTTAGTTATTTAGTAATAAACTTTTCACAGTATTGCTGCATTTCATCTGCCATATATAATTATCAATAATGACTTGTTCATCTCTTTCCAGGTGAGCTGTGGTCTCCACTGGATGCAACAGCCAGAAGAGAAGCAGCACCAGTGCAGCAGAGGGCGCTGTTCAGGTGAGCGGTACCTCACCTGAAACCCACCGGAGGAGACAGGAAGTGATTTCATGTGTCCTCAACTCCTCAGGATGTCGATTGACTTCATTCTTACTGCAGCATCCAGTAAAAACAGAATCGGTTCAAACTTTGGCACTTTGCTGTTCAGGCCAACAGCTTTAGGTCTGTTGGACTTAAAGCTCAGAGTTTCTCTTTGAATAACTATATTTAAATCATTTTTCAGTTTCCAGTCTGCCATTTTCACCGTCTCTGCCAAAGGAGAGCGTCTTCATTCCCGCCTCCCAGATGGTTGTAGCTCTGTAAGGTGATGGAGTTCAGGGCTGAGAGCTTCCAGCCTCAAATACTCACATGTTCAAGTTTAAAGAACGACTTCAAAACTAAAGTATAAAGAATCTAAGAACTGAAATCGCCCAAAAACAAATGATTGAACAAATAAAGCAAGCTGAGCCTGATGAACCAGATGTATCTGGCTCTGTTTGTACTTGTATGACTTTGTTAGCAGCTTTGACCTCTCAGTCTGAGAAGAGTCTCCTCTGAAGGAGAATCCTTTTCCAGATCAAACTCATCCAGATCTTTTTCTGATGACGGTAAGATGAAGACCAGAGCCGACCACCGAGCAGGAGACAGTTTACCAGAGGACAGATGTCCTGAACTCAGAGACTGTTGGATCTCCTCCACTAGAGAACGATGGTTCAGTTCATTCAGACAGTGGAAAAGGTTGATGATCTTCTCTACAGGCAGATTGTCGCTGATGTTCTTCTTTATGTACTGAACTGTCTCCTCATTGGTCTGAGCTGCTTCCTGTCTGTGTGTACGAGTCTCTGATTGGTCTGCAGCGACAGACCCAGCAGGAAGCGGACGACCAGGTCCAGGTTTCCATTTGGACTTCTTGAACAGCCATCTACTGCTCTGATGAATCATTTGTTTCTGTTCTTCACTGCAGTTCTGTTTCCAGGATGTTGAAGAAAAGTCCTAAATCAGTAACTGGCAGAGTGAGAGAAACGAAAACCTGCTGCTGGTGTTGATGTGTCAGTTCACTGGAAAAGGTTTTCACTGGAAAAGGTTTTCACTGGAAAAGGTTTTCACTGGGTGTAATTGTGACGTGCAGAAGAGAAATCCTGAACCAGGAAATATTTCAGTTTAGTTAAGATTCCTCAGATATTCCTGAGCTGAAAGCTGCGACACTTTGTGTGAACATTTGTGGAAAGTAGTTTCAGTTCATGAGGTTTGAATGTGAATCTGAGTCGCCTTTTCTTGTTTTTCTCCGGGCAGAGGAGACGTGGAGATCAGCCTGGCTCCTGACGGTTCCACTCCGACCCAGATCTACAGAAACAGGTCGGTTCTAAGGTCCGGTCCAAACGACTCTCTGGACCCGAAACGCAGCAGAACATTCCTGCATCCAATCAAATGCGATGCAGACGTGCAAACATGCAGGAGAAATGTTGCAACCATTCAGCTCAAAAGCAGAAATTCGTAACAGACACAGAGTCTCTTTACAGACAGGAATATAATATTTATATATGTAACGTAGAAGCGACGGCCATTTTAGACAGTTTAACGTCTGGATGCAGCGATCCGATGTTTCGTATTGACCATCTGAATTCATTTAAAACGGTTTTATGATTTGAAAACTGGTGTAAAAGTTGTGGATTATAAATGTAGCTGATAAGCAGCATCAGTGCAGCTGAATCCACCAGAAGCTCCAGTAGTTAATAAATAATAAAGAAACAGATGAAAGCAACAAGTTGACCAACTCAGTTCAACATGTCGATAAACGGCGACAAACATTTGAAACGGTTCAGAAAGTCCGATTAGTAATTCTAAGTAAAACGCAAATTAAATAACGAAGCATTTTAAACATAACTGGCCTCTGGTCTAGTTAAAGCTCACAGATGAGCTACTTTCTGTTTTGCTTTTGTTTTTAGTGCATCATGGAGCTGGCAGATGCGCTCCACTACAGAGACATCAAACCAGAGAACCTGTTGCTGGGAGGAAACGGGGAGCTGAAGATCGCTGACTTTGGTTCTTCTGTTCACATTCCATCTTTAAGGTATGTGCATGCTGACATGTTAGCATGCTCTGTAGTCATTTCAGCTCTGACATTGTGTTGTTCTGTCCATGCAGGAGGTCCACCCTGTGTGGATCGCTGGACGACCAAACTCAGGATGAGAAGGTGGACCTGTGGAGTCTGGGGTTCTTTGCTATGAGTGTCTTGTTGGAAAACGTCCATTTGAAACAAAAAGTCACGATGAACCTACCGTAGGATTTCTAAGGTAAGAATGCTGATGAATGCAATAATTCAATTCCTAATTTTCACAGGAGTTTTATCCAAATATTTGAGCTTTTTGGAGCACAGAGATCCAAAATAAAAATCTTTTAGGCAGACGGACCAGCTAACATGTTGTTAATATTTATTATTGGTGTAGGTGGAGTACAGTTCCCCTCCACATGCTTCCATTAGTGCCGGAGCTAAAGACTTGCTGGCCAAGCTGCTGCAGCCCAACCCCATGCACAGGTTGCCCATTGAAGGCGTCGTCTCCCATCCCTGGGTCCTCAAACGCTCCACCAAGACGCCCACGACTTGTGAGTCATTTCTGAGTACGTCTTTCCCAGCACCGGCTCCATCTTCCGTGTCCAGGATCCACTGATTTGGAAGGACAGTTATCAATATTTTAAAAGTACATGACAGCCAAGAGGAATCATGTTAATAAAAGTCCTTTCATGTTTTGAATTTTTTGGGGGGTTTGAATTCTGTTTCTGTAAACATATTTACACACGAGAGGAAAGAGACAAATTAGCTGTAGATTTTTTGGTGGAGATGTTTTTAATCCAGCAGAAATTGAAGGGAGATTATCCCCATTTCTGAACTGAAACATGTGTTCTGAACTTTTAGATTTATTTTTCAAAAGAGTATTAAAAGGTAAAGCAGCAGTCACATTGAAACATTGAAGTATTATGGATATATGATTTTATGTTGTTCCTTTTAGTCTGCTTCCAGGAAGACGTCCGCTCCATTTTATGTCACTCTGCATGACTTGTAAGATTTGATCCTTTTCTTTATGCTGAACAAATGTGTTTATTTGTCAAGCTGAAACGTCCGAGGGGTTTTGTTGAGTCCAGTGGCCGAAATGGAGCCGATAAGAACAGGAAGGCCCAACATTTTTGCAGGAAAGTCAATTATCTCTGCAGGTTTTCCATGAAAACTAACTGGTAAGTCGTTGTCAGTTTGAGATTTCTTCCCTCTGTGTCCTTCTAGGTGAGACGCAGCCGCGGGAAAACAAAAAGACCAATGTTCACGTCCTCTACGGAACCAGAGAGACGGACTTTCAGACGGGGAAACAGCCGGAGACCATAACAGAACAGCCTTACCTCTGGTCATGTGCTCGGCCTCGCACATTCTGGGCGAGCCGTTGGACGCATTCAGAGCTGAAGCTCAAATAAACATGCTTCTTAATGAAGCAAGAGCCACAACTGGCTAATGAAGTGGAGGAGGTGGCAATAGGTCAAATGAGCAACTTGAGGAAGCTGCTGCAATGGTATGTCGTTTTTCTTCATTTTTTCGACAACATACTATATAGTATGTCATTTTTTTCAATATTTCGGACGACATACTATATAGTATGTAGAAATGATAATATTGAAATGATACTTTATATTTAATAGGGAAAAAACAATGATATGTGTGAAGAATGTGGAGAGAATGTAAACATAGAACATGTATTAATGAACTGTAAAACATGAATGTGAAAGGGAGAAATTGAGAAGAATAGTTGGAAGGACAGATCAAGAATGGAGTTTGAAAGGAATACTGGGGATGGAATATAATGGATATTTGCATATTAAAGAAAGCACTATTTATTTATCTTCAAAATATGTAACAGATGTAAAATACTGTTGCTACACACTCGTGTACAGTAGGTGGCGGTATGCACCTTAAAGTTGCTTGAGATCCGCCATATAGGCCAGAATATTCTTTTGTTTTTTATTCTGAAATGTTTGTTTTTTATTTAGAAAAGTAAACAAAAACTATTTTAAACAGGATCAGGAACTGAAGTCGGTCATGTAGTGAAAGACGACTGGATGGATCCGACTGACTGAAACTTTAACAACAAACATCCACAAGTTACTGGATGATAAAAACTATTTCCTCCTTTCTGGGTCTTTTTCTTCTGCCCATATCATTGATTAATATCTGGATCAATACAGTGGAGATGCAGAGGAGATAATAATGTTCCTGTAAAGCTGATCACAGTCAAAAGACGTTTTTACACCAAGATTGAATCAAACTGACGGCTTTAAAACTTTTACACAGTAATGTTTCATTTTTAGATGTTCATTATTATTTTACCTTTAATTTTTCTACTAATCTGCACTAATGAAACCGTTTCCTCTGTTTATTTCTCAGGTTATAAATAAATGTTCAAACTGGTTGACAGGCTGGAAAACCATCAATCTGTCCTGATCAGAACCAGAACCAGAACCAGGCACCACAGAGAGCAAATCAATCTCTAAAATGTCACATTTTAAGCTTTATCAGAAGCAGTTTGTTAGAAAATGCAGCAAAGACATTAAATTAAAATATTGTAGAGTTAAAAGTGAGGCCATCTGTGTGACAGATGAACCTCGACCCAAACTGAGGAAGGAGGAAACATTCCTGCACAGCAGAGACAGAAACTCATAAACATCTTCCAGTGAACGGCTGCAGCAACTTAAAACCTGTTTGTAACTCTGCAGGTTTTTAACTTTCGTTGGAAACGTTTGAGACAAACTATTTGAACAACTTAAAGCCTCCAGGCTAAAAGAGACAAAGATTAAAGAAGTTTATGTTCACGAATGAAGGAGGATCAGGTGAGTTAGTAACACGACTGGGATAAAGTTAGTTTTGTTCTGTGGCCTGTAAAGAACCGAGACGTAAACGCCTCACTACGTCTGACCCAGTGATGTTGGTTCTGAAGCTTTATTAGCCAATAGAGGAGCTGAAGGCAGATGGACTCGGTTTCATCCATCAGGTTTGCTAAATGTTTCCCAGGCTGAATGTAACTCTGGTTCTGATCCGTTTGGATCACATTATGGCTTGTAACACCTGATCATTTTCAGCATTAAAATCTGTTTTTATAAAACCAAATGTCATTATTTCTCAGGGTTCTGGTCGGTCCTGAAACCGGTAAACGGACCTGGAGGATCACAGAGACAGAAATGATGAAACTCCAACAAAACTATGAGGAAACTGAAGCTCCTGACCTTTAACCTCCTCACAGCTCCATGGCTGAATGAGGAAACTGAAGGTCCCACCTTTCCTCGGA